GAACTACCGGAATCGAATTTGAATCTATTAATCTTTTAGCCATCCAGGCCATTTAAAATATTATGGTTGTGTTTGTGTGTATGAGTGTATGAGCGATGAATGTTTCGAGCAGATGAGGAATCAGTCGTCAGCGAGTGCAGAGATAGCGAGAATCAATGAGTAAGTAGCGAGTTCTGAGAGTGTGAAGACGTAGCGAAGTCAGAAGAGAATATAGCAAGTTAAATAAAATTTCTAATTTTAATAAAATATCCTTTTACACCAAATTCCTACATAATCAAAGTAATTAGGGTCATTATAGACTATAAATTATAAACCCAGAAAAAATGCTTCTATATTATATAGGGGTGGAAAGCAGAAAAAGTTTTAGTCTCAAGAATTGTAAAAATTCAAACGTCTGTGATGACATTGGAAAGCTTTGTTTATTATCAGAATTGTTCATTATCGCCATGATATTCTTGAAAACAGAAAATTTCATTTTAGAACTTGCTATATGATTCTTTTTCGCCGTTTCATTTGTAGGAACTGAACGGTAAATAGACTACTATTTCCATAACCGCGATATCTAAGGTTGTCATTATCTAGCGTGTTTGTAATATGATGTGCGATCGCGTGATGAATCGGCTTTGTCTCTTTCTCTCTTCTTCTTGTACAAACTGCCGGAGAATACAAACGTATCTTGTAAGATATACAGAATAGAGATAGATTATAAAAGTTAAATTGATCTTATTAAGTGATCCACCCACGCAAAATCCAACATCATTAAACTTGGATTAATTGACAAAAATTCAAGAAATTCCAACTTCGCCATTCTAATGCTTAAGGTTTATTAAATAGAGAAGGTTTTATTTTTCAAGTCTATGGTAAATCTAGTCAGGAAAATAATTTTTTAATGTTTTTACAGAATGTTTTTACGTTTGAATTGTTAGAATAAAAGACTTTCTTACTTTCCTGTCTGCAACATGATGTAAAATTATCTTTGAAAAGAAAAAGTGAAGGCATTACACTTTAAAATAAGATTAATTGGATTGTTACAATTTCTATTCACAAAGTTATAATAATTTAAACTTTAAATTTTCAAGTTTCGACAGTTCTCTATTCAGTATACCTATATTTTCGTCCATTTTTGTACATTTTCTGTTTCCTATAATATTTATTAACTAATATTATTCTAAATGCATCTAATTAAGAAATGAAAAATTTAATACTACATATTTCAAAAGATAAAATTCTAAAATAATTCTTAACTAACTAATGAAAGGTATTAAAAAACATAAATCTGAGTAATTTATTATAAATTTAAATTTATTGCTACTTCTGTACATAATTTACAAAAAATTTACGCAGGTGAGCGGAAAATTTGTACAATTTATACAAACCTAATTCTTATAAAACATTCTTTCATCAACACTAGGTTTCGTTCATTTGCTATATGAGCAAAATTTAATAAATTTTTACTACCTTCTCTTGGCAATTTTTGCTGACATTTATTAATAAAATAATACGAACTATTTTCTCAAATTTCTCATTTTTTAATTTTCAAGTTCTGTATCTGTCTCTGCGAACATCAGTTTGACGTAGAAATAATACAAAAATATAAGGTATACAAAAAATGGCCGGAGATCTAGAGACAAACTTGTACAGATAAATTTTACTATGTACAGATAAATTTACTATTCTATACAGGAAATGACCGTAAATCTAATGTATGAAGAGACAAATTTTTGTTATGTACAGGTAAATTTTTCTATATATGTACAAGAAATGCTGGTAAGTTTAATATATGTACAAACAAATTTAACTGTGTTATATTATTTACATTAAGAATTTCTATTTAGTCAAATAATTGTACCAAATATTTATGAAGTCAAATAAGAAAATAGAAATTGTTAATGTAAATAGTATAACAAATTAAAATTGTATTCCTACACATGGGACACATGAAATTTTGATTTGTGTCAGACAACTTGCGCTGAAAGAGAAAAGTGAACATTAATTTCAGAAGAGCTACTAATTGTATAAACTATAAAATTTCATTATATATCCCAGATGTTCGGCCTTACGGAACACAAAGGAGGTGGGGTTCGCACCGCGAAGGACAAACTCATCGAGCCAGGGAAAGTAATTTTATAATTTCTAATTTCTTGACGGCAGAGATCTCCCGTGACCATATTCCATGTCCTGCGTAACCTTGCATGTTCTATTGTGGTCACACCGGACTACCAATTCCAAGACTCGTCATACTCGGCGCTCGATAAATGATTTTATCGCAACTTTTTTTACGACATCCATAAATCCAAACCCATATTGCGAGGGAAACATCCTAGGACCGTTGGAAAGTGCGGATACTACGTTCTGGGACCGACCTCGCTCACATCTGGAAGCAACTAACATACCTCCCTAAACCATAGAAATCAGCTATATAAGACCAACGCACAAGACAACAGTCGAGGCAGTCGAGGCAGTCGAGGCAGTCGAGTCGAGTCGAGTTCTTCGAGTTCAGAGGACAGACAGAAGTTGAGTTAGTTCGAGAGTTACATCACGAGTTCAGTTGAGTTAGAGTCAGAGTTCAGTTGGAGTCATTCGTGATAATAGTGTAGTGCTGCAGTGCCAGCCCTAGTTCCCTTCATCACACAACGGATACACGAGAAAAAAGAAAAGCACAAACCCAAAACAGACGTGGAAAAAACAGACACACGGCCTGCGGCCAAAAGAAAGGCCACGGAATATGTGCTCCATCCCATAACAATAAGGAAGAGATCACCCTCACCATCAAAAACAGGGCCAATCGAAATAACTAACATAGGTATAGAAACAAAACCTAATATCCTACACAAAATAGATTCAGCATTTTCGCCGACTGCATATTGCAAGATACCGACCGAGCCAACACAGAACAAACAAACAAAGATCTTAACACTCAACCGGAAATTCCCTAGAAACCTACCAACGTAAAGCCACCGCCTATCTACTTACTTATGGAAATATTAATCACGCAAAATTATTAGAAGCACTAAAAACCAGCTACAACAACAGATACTACATAAAATATGTCTCTCAAAAACTTAAAATCATGTTCCATAACCTAACGGACTACAACGATTTCAAGAGGTATGCCGAAAACAAAACATTCAGTTCCACACCTTCCTCATACAAAAAAGAATCAAAACCACCCGAAACAACATCTGGCAAAACCGCCTAGAAAAAATAGAGAAGCCAGATTACACACGTACAAGATGACAGGATTGAACCCCCCCCCCCCCCATGTCGCTGCTAAATGAACCTGCAGATAATTCCACACACTACACGGACCTAGATAAAGCAATTGTCCTTGCCGCATACTTCGCCAAAACAACGACAAGTTAGAACCGAACACTGCAAACAATCCGATTAACCAGCCCTCCCCACAGACCACTTTCACAACAAGGGAAACACTTCCACTCTCCACAACGCACATCACGATAACCCCCCACATCATACACAAAATAATCACAAAGCTATCAAACAGCAAAGTCCCCGGTCCAAACACGATCTCAAACGTCGAACTAAAAAATCTTCCTAAAAAAATCATGGTGCAAATATATTACATCCTCAAAGCATGTCTCCAACTATCATACTTTCCCAAAACTTGGAAGCTAGCCAAAATTCATCCGGTCCCCAAATCCGGTAAACCAACTACAGAAGCCACCAGCTACAGGCCCATCAGCCTATTAAACACACTAAGTAAAGTACTAGAAAAAATCATTCACCACCATCTCCTCAAGCATCTTAACAACAACAACATAATTATACCACAGCAATTTGGATTCTGTAAAAAGCACTCGTCTATTAATTAACTACAAAGAGTTGCGGAGTACGCCACAATAGAATTAAACAAAAATAGAATAACACAACTGATACTATTCGACCTCGAGAAAGCGTTCGATACGGTCTGACATGATGCCCTACTGTACATACTATGAAAAATCAGAACTCCCATTCCAATGACCAACATCATCGAAAACTATTTACAAGACAGACAATTCTATATGTCAATACAAGGAACCAAATCAAAGACACACATCATCAAGGCCGGAGTACCGCAGGGCTCCATACTCAGACCAACGCTTTTCTGTACATACATTAACGACATTCGCACTACCACTAACACCCAAGCTGCCATATATGCGTCATCATGGAACCTGACACAGGCAACGAAGTATTTACAAACCCACATCAACGCCATGTTTCGACTTGAGTCGAAAATATACCACTCAAAGTCAAGGTCAAATTACCTAAACACGGATTAACCTAACGAACCAAAACCTTCAGATTCAAACTGTATCAAGGAACCTGCAGGTATTTGAAACTTTTCCTGCAAGCCTAATCTCATCTCATCATACAAACAAACCACATAAATGTCCACAAACGAATAATATCTTTATGCAGGTTAAAGGGCACTCCAGGCCCAAGGTACTGCAGACGAGACATTCGAACTAATTAAATGAAAAAAAAAAGAAAAAAAAATTATTTTGTTATTCATTCACAAGTAGTCAGTTTAGATGCGGCCATTTCCGCGTCAGTCACAAGGAGAGCTAGCGTGCACTCTCCCGACACATCACACATCTACAGTTATAATTAACATTTGTATAATCGTAAAATATAAGTATTTATTCCATATCTTGACTTCATTCGTTAAAACATCTCTCCGGAGACTGTAAAAGGCACGACAAGAGAGCGACTAGCGAAGCGGGTGAGCAACTAACGTTCACCGTCGTGCTTGCCATAACAGTCACAGTATTATATAATCTGCAAAGATGTAAAAAAGGAACAAAAAATTAACATAACAGTAGTGAATAAAAGTAGTAGAATAATAGTAGTAGTATAATAGCAGTATATAAAACGTATATAGTACGTAATATGGTAAGAAAGTAGCTGGAAACTTACTTAACTCCATTAGAATGGCATTCATGATGCTTTGGAGTAATTCTTCCAGTTTTTTAATATTCAAAGTATTCACATGGAAATTCTTTAATTCGATTGTAGTTTTGTCTTGTTCCACAAGACAAAATAGTATTGCATGTTTTACTATATGATACGCACCTAATTGTACACTAGATACAGGAGATTGGAGGAATTTCAATGCTAATCCAACAGTCCTTGTAAGAAATGTATGATTTTTGAAAATTATATTGCCATTAACCATTTTCAGCCTTTCCTAAGTGATCCAATAATATAACAACTTCCAAAGCTGTTGTTTTTTCACTGTACACATCTGTGACATCAAATTTAAAATTGGTTAAAAATTGCGGATAAAAAAATCAATGACTTAAATTACATATAACTAAAGTATACCTGCACAAAGCATCCAAAATTCAGTAATTCCACTGAATATCCGATAAAAATATTTTTCCATTTTTTCATTTTTGTGATATTATTATTACTTTTTCCTGGTCATGTTTGTTAATTAAATCTTGGACCGCGCGATATAGTTGACACATGGCTACCAGCAGTGTAAATGCCTGTGAAAGTAAAAAGAAATTTATAACAAATTAGCAAATTTGAATTAACAAATAAAAAAAATTAACAAATTTTTTCAAATAATGTTAATAATTAATTGCATACCTCGAAATCAGTAACATTTTGTTTTGACTTCCTAATGAAATTCGGCCGTAGGACTAAAGAAGTCAGAATAAAATTCCAGTTTTCATATGTCAACTTACATGGAATTCTCTTGACGATTTCTGTCGATAATCTTATACGTTCCAAACATAGATTTATCCCAAGAAATTTGGGAAATGTCTATAAAAATCACTATAAGAAGGAATAATAGAAACTTTGCATTTTTGACATAAGCATGTTATTGCATTATACTTTATGTAAGAAGTAAAATATTACCAATCCAATAATGAAAGATGTATCTTCAAAATATTGAATACTTTGAAATATTGTCTTGCTCCATCAACATACTTCTTACTACTATTAATCCAGGAACGTTATTACTGGATATGCTGGATACCCATGTATTAAAGGTGTTGTGCCAATTTTGAAGTTTGCGAAGAATCTAAAATAAAATTTTCTTTCATCGCACAGAACATACTAACATATTGAGATTTTAAAATTGATTTTAAAATTTTAAAATTGATTGACTATCAGTGCTAAATTTACCTGTAAATTTTGAAGTCTCATTTCTTCGTTTACAGTAAATATGTTCTTACTTTTACAACTTCTAAATAACTCTTTGGGTTCTTTGGCAGGGCACAACTTTGTACAGCAAAAGTGTATTGTATATGGCAGTACATTTTCATATTTCGAATAATTTCTGCAAATACAATAAATAAAATTAGCATTTTATGAACTTACTAAATACTAAACTATATATATTTAAAATACGTACAATGTCAGATAATCACGAATTTCGTGAAACGTATCTTCGTTAGCATGTAACTATGTGAAATTTTTTTTGTAGAATCGCCAAAGTTTTTTTCACATCGTCATAATACTTGGTCTGAAAATATGTAATTGTTCAATGAAGTATCAGTTCTTTTTGTTATTGAATTTTCTTAAATGTTTTCGCACAGATTACCTATGATCATACTTACAAATTTATAATACTTGGTGTAAATTTCACCTAGGATAATAGAATATATGATATTAATTAATAAATTTGTAATTCCTGGTAAATCTACGTTATGTATCAATAATCTTTCGATGCCATCGACTGACCTCAAGCATAGATTATTTAATATATCTATGTTGAGCAGTGCCCACTTCAAACAATTTTTAATATTATCTATTATTGTCTCACTGGTTAAATCAGTGGACACACATTTTTGATCAATTTTTTTGTTTTGATCAAAAGATGATAGGTGTAGTTTACCAGTTACTACTTCTTCATATACAATCAGACGAGTAGTCTTAGACATCCAAGTTGTTATATCAGAAATCTTTAAAAATGTTGAAATAATTTCTTTTCATAGGAAACCTTATCATTATGTATAGTTTCGACAAATCGACTGCTGTGTTGACTAATATTTTTTTCTTATACGAATGTTATTGATATCTGACACATAAGGAATACGTTATAAGAAATAAACTAACGATTTATATTTTATAAATAATGTAATATAATTGTCTTACATTTTGTAATTATTCCATATAAAAGTTGCACACAATTTAGTCACGTTAATAAATTTGGATTGTGATAATTTTTGAACTGCTTCCAGAAGAATTTTTGTCCACATACTTCGTATTACTTTGGTGAAAAGATGATTACAATGAAAGTAATTTCTCAAACGTAGTTCGAAAAGAATTCCTAATATTCGTACCGCCCCAACTATTGTTTTCTTGTTAGGCCATGCTAGTGGGACTAGACAATAAATGAAGTTCATGAAATCCAGAAAATATTTTTCATCTATTTCGTAAAATGAATTGCAAAATACAGATATGATTTCACTGACTACTGTTTTTTCGTTTGTTGACAGCTCAGACAAAAAAAAAAAAGTATACTTTTGTGGTTGTTGATGCGTTTACCAAATTCACGTGGTTATATGTCACAAAGTCCGATTCATCGATCTTTTCTCTTGCCCTTGTTCGAATCCCCTCGCGTTCTTCTTGAAACATAGTGATTCATTCGTCCTCTATCAATCGCCAAATCACCACATTTTCACGCATCTTAATATGTGTTCAGAACAATAAATGAAACGGAGTAGTATTAGTACTCCTACTGGGTGTTGCATTCAAATATTTTTTGCGCAACCTCAAGATACTTGTAGCATTCCTCTGCTTTTGGTGCAGGTAACTTCGTCAGCAAGGATATGAATGTTCTGTTCTTTTAACCTGACCATTGCTTGCGGAACACCTGTCGTTATCAATACATGCTGTATTTTTTCGTTCTTACAATAATCTTCAAAGGCAGCTCATGTAAACGCGATCTGAAACAATTCTTCTAGGATTTCCAAACACAGCGAATTACTTCTTTAATCGATCGATTGCGCCGTAACAATAATTAATCTGTAGTTATAATTTTAGTTTAAATATATGTTTAAATATAACAGATGGCTTGTTTGTTGATCATAGAAATATGATAAAATATGAATGAGATGCGAGAAGTCCAACTTAGGCATGGAGAGCTTTTTCTTTTTAAAAGACCAGAATCGAGCGAGTTGTAATAGTCGGAGAGAGCATCCACAAAGAGCTGTTAAAAGTGTCAATTGTGTTGTTAAAAGAGTTTATTTGAGCTGTTAATTTGTATTGATTGAATGTTATTTGTCTTCTTTAATTATTCGTTGTTCTATTATCATTATTCCTATTGAATAAATATTATTTACATTATATCTGTCGATATCACGCTTTTAAGCATAAAAAAAATTACTATTAGATAAACGTAGAAATTACTCTATGCTACCATGTAGAAATTACTAATCTAGTACGAATCACTTAGCTACCATCTATTTACAGTGAGTGATTTTAATATTCGGACATCATACAATCTTCACTTTATCGCATTGTAATTTTATTAACAATTAAGGAAAAAAGTACATATTTAGTCTTAAATTACATTGCTACATAGGGTTTAATTAACAAAAGCATAAATTTTATTTATATAATGTATAACGTTTGTTAGATAATACATTATAAATGAAATCATGTCTAATTTTGATGACAATAATATTCGGACACCTCGGAATGTAACAATTTGCGTGAGTTATTGTGATATTTAACAGTTTTGAGGTATGTTTACAATCATTATAGTTCGCGTATACTATTTCAAGAAAATCAGTTGTACAGTATAAATTTCCCGTATCCGTATTCCCATTTTATCCGAATACCTTAATAGGACGTTCTATCATTCGGACGTTCTGTTATTCGCACAACGTTTCGTAGTGATGTGCACATACATGATACAATGTATATAGATGTACATAAATACTTTCCTGTGTTCGGCCGGTTAAATATAATCATATCAATTTAGATCTAGCTAGTAGACAATGATAGATCGCATTCTACATGTGACATTCTTAACCAGAAGGACGAATTTATAAAAGTTATGTTTTTGCTACCTAATATAATTTCACTCATACAGCCACTAGATCACGGAGTAATTGAGTGCTTCAAACGACTATATAGAAAAGATTTGCTTAAAAAACTTCTGTTTACTTTTTCAATTGAATGAAGAGAGTGTAGCAATATAAGAAACTAAATTTAAAAGATTGCTTTTACATAGTGGCAAATGATCGGAGAAACATTAAAAAATGAAATGAAGAGCACCGAGAAAGCTTTTAATGCATGAAATTGAAAAAATTAGTGAACAAGAAAGAACAGTAGAAGCAGATATTGAAGAAGCTGTCACTACGTAGGACACAGCTGTCGCTGCGTAGAATATCAGGATGGGATTGTGACAGCAATGATGTAATGTAGTGATTTCAGTGCGATAAGGACAATAGTAGCGATGAAGACATAACATAAATTTTACACAAATAGAAGCAGCAGAAAGTCGGACGATGAGGACCTGCCTTTGCATGTCGAAGCATTTGAGTCATTTGTAAAAGGATGGTTTGAGGCACAACAGGAATGTAATTCTACGTAGTTGCTTACAATAAAAAGTTTATGTGACTTAGCGGCGAAAGATATGGGACCCTTAGATGTTGAAAGAAACTGTCAATTTTCATTTCTACTTGAATAAATGAAGTTCAATGCAAAAGAAAGTGATTGTTCTATTATCCGAAAATTCCACTATCCGGCCACGTTTGTCTCTCTGTTAATTTGGATATGGGAGTTTGTACTGTATTTGAATATTCACTGAGTTCATTAGTAATAATGGGAAACACTTCGTACAACATACGCCAACTTGCCATTTTTTACAGTGCAAAAGGGAAATCATACAGAGAAATTGCAGCAATGCTTAACATTAAAAGTACAGTGGGAGATATTATTAGACGGTTTAATTGTGAAAATGGGATAGAATTTATTCCTCAAAGAGGCCAACGAAAGATTTTAGACACGTATGATAAGAGAAATATTATACGAAAGATAAAGAAAGATCCTACATTAAGTGTACCAAAATTATCTGCCGAAATTTTTAATGAAACTGGTAAGAAAATGCATCCACAAACAATACGCAGAACATTAAAAGAAAGTGGTTATAACGAACGAGTTGCTCGGAAGAATATATGTGAATGAAGCTTATAGAAAGAAATGATTAAAATTTGCGAAAGAATTTCTTTTAAAAGAAGATATGTGATGGAATGATGTTGTTTTTAATGATGAGAATAAATTCAACATTTTTGGATCGGGTGGACGAAGAATGGTGTGGCGAAGGAAAAAGGAAGAACTAAAAATTAAAAATAGAAGTATAGCCGAGTATAAAACACGGAGGTGGAAATGTACTCGTATGGGAATGTATCTCATCATTTAAAACGGGCGAATTAAGTTTTATTGATAACATAATGGACAAAAATGTATACCTCAATATTTGAAAAAATAATTTACATAAAAGTGCAAATGGAAGTACATTTAAGTATTATCAAGATAATGATCCCAAGCATAAAGCACGTATTGTACAGGAATATCTAATGTATAATTTTCCAAAACTATTTTGGAATTTTCCAAATTAACAGCCGCCACCTCAGTCCCCAGATCTGAATCCTATAAAAAAATTTATGGGATGAATTAAATTAACGAATTTCTAATAAATCTTCAAAATCAGACATGATTTTATTTAAAACATATTATTTAATAAATGTTATACATTATATAAATAAAATGTATGCTTTTGTTAATTAGACCCTACGTAAAAATGTAATTTAAGACTGAACAATTATTTTTTTAATTGTAAATAAAATTACAATGCGATAAAGTAAATATTGTACAGTGTCCGAATATTAAAATTACTCACTGTAAATAAATGGTAGCTAAGTGATTTGTGCCAGATTAGTAATTTCTACAGCGTTGTTTCTAATAGTGATTTTTTTATGCTTAAGAGCGTGATATCAACAGATATAATGTAAATAATATTTAATAGGAATAATGATAATAGAACAACGAATAGATGAAGAAGACATAAATAATTATATAAGTCTTTTATTATAATATTCATACAAAATACATACACACTCTTATATATTCTACATAACCTCTTATATACTCTTTAATCTCTTTACAGAATCTTTACACGTGGCTATTCTTTCTACTCACGTAACACACAACTGATACATTTTTTTCTTCTCTTCCTTTGTTCTACTACATTTTTTTGTCTGCCGCTGCCTAATATATATATTCATAATATAAGTTATCTAATAGTTAACCTAATCATACGTAGGATGGCTACACCCATCCGTGTCTTATCACAATACAAATGGACTATATACTTAACAATATCTCTACAATATTGACAAAATTGTTTCCTTATTTATATGCTCGCCACTGTATGTCCTGCGACTGAACAAGATCAATGCAAGGCAGAATGTAGTCACAGAGACGTTAACTCGTGCTCCAGCAGTGCTATAGACGCATTGAGAAACGCAATGCAATTATATCGTACAGTATAAGCT